AATTTACCTTGTTTCATGGACCTAACATTCAGGTTCCTATGCAATATTGTTCTTTATAACATTGGAGTTTACTTCTGTCACCAGTCACATCTACAACTGGGTGTTGTTTTTGCTTTAGCTCCATCTCTTCATTCTTTCTGGAGTTATCTCTCCACCCACAAAATGTAGAACAGTTATACCAAAGAAATTCTCTCACTGTTAAGAAAGTTGTCAGGCCCACAAAAGATTTCCCAACCCGGGGATCCGGCAAAGGGACAGAGAACCCCCAGGGAATTTGACTTTGGAGGCCAGTGGGATTTGATTATAGAACTTCCACAAGGCTGGGGAAACAGACTCTTGGAGGGCACAAACAAAACCTTGTGTGCACCAGGAGCCAGGAGAAAGGATCAGTATCCCCACAAGAGACTGAGTCAGACTTGTGAGTGAAATTGTTTAATGGGGCCCAGACTCCTGTTGTGTGAGATCTTGAGTGTTGTGTTCAGCTGCCCTCAGCCATTGCACACTACATACAAGGAGCATGCCACCACCTACAGGACCACTCCTCTCTGCACATCATTCTTAGAAGCCCACTACCCAGGCATCGTAGCAGCCCTTGGGCAGGTGGGTGTGACGCCCAGGGGAATTCTGAAATGGTCCCCCTGCTTCTTCCTTCTGTAGATAGACTTACCCATCTCTCCAACTTGAGTGAGATGAGACTCTCTAAGAGTATGTGAACTGAAGAACATTCACTGTGCTCAGATTACATTTGACTGACTTGAACACTTTGAGAAAGAACATTGTAGTTACTTCTGCCAAAAGGAATCCTGAGGCCAGACCATCACCTTGATGTTTAATGATACTGTCTACATCAGAGATTTTCGAGGTGTACATTATCATCATCTGGAAGTCAGGATCTCTGTTTTTTCAAGCTCCTCCCGTGATTCTGAGTTCAGAACCACTGGTAGAAATAAACTTGAACTTTGATTTCTGATGTAGCCTGTAATAAAAAGGAAAAAAGATAAGATAGTTGTAGGTATTTACAAATGCATTGGGATAGCTTACTTTTTTTAGTTAACATTTCTTCAGTCAATTTCTGATATGTGTACAGATTCATAAGGCAGAATAAAGGTTGTGATAACAGTTCTAGATCAGGGTCTTGCTGCACTAAAGGACTTCAGCAGCCTTAAACATGACATGAACACATGTGCTGAAGTTTTTTCTTAGCTTCTTGTGTCCCCAGGGGGTGTTTGCAAAGGATATAGTTGTGCCATTAATTTAGTTTATTTGTGATTTATATATTTTTATCATTGACTCTCAACATTTTTTTTTAAGTTAGAAAAGCAGTATCTATACAATGGAGAAAATTGGGGAAATTCAGAGAAGTTTAGAGAAAGAAAAAAATAATCATTCTGTCCTACATTTCAAAATAATAGCTGCTGATATTTTTCATTTCTTTACTGTACTAAACTGTCACTTTCCAAAGCTGCCTTCTAAGTTTACTATTCTAGGATTTGATATAAACATGTGAAATTTTTCATAATGAAGAGTAGTCAACTTCAGAAATGGTCCCTGTGACACTCTATACTTTGTAACTTTAAATGTTATTTTTTCCCCTGATAGCTCAGTTGGTAAAGAATCTGCCTGCAATGCTGGGGACCCCCTTGGTTGGGAAGATCCTCTGCAGAAGGGATAGGCTACCCACTCCAGTATTCTTGGGGTTCCCTTGTGGTTCAGCTGGTAAAGAATATGCCTGCAATGTGGGAGACCTGGGTTTGATCCTTGGATTGGGAAGGTCCTCTGGGGAAGGGAAAGGCAACCCAGTGCAGTATTCTGGTCTGGAGCATTCCATGGACTGTATAGTCCATGGGGTTGAAGAGTCAGACACAACTGAGCAACTTTCACTTTCCCTTTATAGAGAAAGACAAATACTGTATGCTGTCACTCATATATGGGATCTGAAAAGTGAAAACAAACAAAGGAATGTAACAAAACAGGAACAGACTTACAGATGTAGAGAACAAACTAATGGTGACCAGTGGGAAGACTGGAGTGGGGAGGGGCCTGTTAGAGGTAGGGGATTAAGAGGTATAAACAACTGTGTATAAAATAAAGAAGCTACATGAATATTTTGCACAGCATAAGGAATGTAGCTCATTTTATAGTAACTTTAAATGGGGTATAATCTATAAAATACTGAATCACTGTGTTGCACACCTGAAAATAATATAGTATTGTAAATCAACTATACTTCAGTTTTTTAAAAAAGGTCATTTTTTAAATGTTATTTTTGCTCTTTGTATTTTTTTTTTAGTTTTTCTGTTCCTAAGTCAGTGTCTTCTCACAAGGTCCCCCCTCTTAGTGACTTAATAGTTAATGATCTTTGACAGGTAAATTAAATGGAGGCAGTTTTTAAATCGAAAATGTGGTTTCCCTCTATAACATGCATATTTACCCCTAGAAGTATTCTGCTAAATAAATCAGGCTGGATTACCCTTCTGCCGAAAAGATATTGTCCCTTTTCCCTTTTAAAATACATTTTTAAAAAGTATTTCTTAAAGGTCTAAAGTCTGGATACTAGTCACTGGTCTGTACCCTGTTGAAGCTCCACTAAAAGGGGAAAAACCACCATATTGAAGACCTAGCATGTGACAAGGGCCTGTTTGCAAGACTCCACAGGCAGTTGCATTTTGACCTGGAGTGTCTTTCATGTTTGGAGACTATCCAACCTGCATTATTTCTTAAACATTCATGCCCTTGACCATCTTTCAAACCCCCAGGCCCTCCACCTTCTTCCTCCCAACCCCCCACCCCCTCACCTAACCTGAATCAAGCACTCTTCTGTCTAATATTCATGGCATGCTATTGAAAAATAGCAAGTGTAGATGAGATTGCTTTGAAAATCAAAATGATATAATACTGAAAATGAAGAGAGACTAAGCTACCTACATTATATGAAAGAAAGAAAGAAAGTGAAAGTCACTCAGTTGTGTCTGACTCTTTCCGATCCCATGGACTTTATAGTCAGTGTAATTCTCCAGGCCAGAATACTGGAGTGGGTAGCCTTTCTGCTCCAGGGGATCTTCCCGACCCGGGGATCGAACCCAGGTCTCCCTCATTGCAGGCGGATTCTTGACCAGCTGAGCCAGAAGGGAAGCCCACATTATACAAAGTATGTATTAGTGCAGTCAAATGATGAAGCCAAAACCAAAGACAGTTAGACTTTATTCCAAGATCAACATTTGATTGGGTTTCCCAGGTGGCACTAGTGTTTAAGAACTCTCCTGCCAAGGCAGGAGACATAAGAAATGCGGATTCAATCCCTGGGTCAGAAAGATCCCCTGGAGGAAGGCATGGCAACTCACTCCAGGATTCTTGCTTGGAGAATCCCATGGACAGAGGAGCCTGGCGGGCTACAGTACATAAGGCTGCAAAGAGTCAGACTTGACTGAAGCAACTTAGCACACACGCAACTCTTTAGTTAAGATAAAACGACAAACATTCCTTTAAAATAGCAAGAGGTCTTAAATTTCTGTATAAAAGTTGTTTTCTGCTAAAGAAAAAATTTTATCTATAGTTGTCTATTTATAAGTTACTTCCCAACACTAAAATTTATGTTGTACTTCCTATCAACACAGTTCTTTCCTGTGTGCATGAGAAGTCACCTGTAAATGCCTTGGTCCCTTACTGGGTAACAGTGAGGGGAAGAGAGTTTGAATTCAACCAGCGTGTAGATTTCAGTTTTACTGACATACAGATATTTGAGTTTAAGTAATAGTAAATGTTTAGATTTAAAAACAAATTACTTACCTAGAATAAAACTTTTTAAAAGGCGATTAAACCAGTCACAGAACGTTTCTCATTTGACAGCTAAAACAAAAATTACTGACTTGAAACATTGGTAACTAGACGCAAATAAAATTGTCTAGGTGTATAGTTTTCAAGATTTAATTTTTACTTATGTGTTCAGTCTTAAGATTAGTAAACTTTGGCAGATTTTGTTAAATCAGTGAAGTAGCATTTGTTAACCATGATAGAAACACTTATTTTCTATAATATGGGGGATGAAAATTATGTAAACTAAATGTCACAAATTGCAATTATAAACAGACTTGTCTGCTTACAAATGGTACAAATATGTTGGCCTTTTACTGTCTATACATAATGATAATTGTCTTTTTATTGCTTTAACTTTTGAGTCCAGAGCCTGCTAAAACAAATATTTTTCTAGAGGCAGTAATTAAGTACAATATAGCTGGAAATGTGAACATAATTTCAGTCTTTTAAAGAGCTGGGAGATTCACTGAGTCTTTGCTTATTTAATTTTAGTTTGCACAGCTTTGAAATCATTCTGCATATGGTGTTCTACTTTGAGATAAACCGAAGTAGAGTATATATAAACGTCTATCAAGATTAATAATAAAGTGTGTGATTGTTTAAGTGAGAAGGTATTATTTGTTGAGAGCTAAGTTTTTCCTGAAAAACCTCACAAAGAACTGAATATCATTTTAAGCTTTTTTACTAAATAAGTAATTAAGTTATGCCATTTTTCTCCTTTTAAGTTTATAGGTGGTTGCCTTTTAGTTTATCCTTTGAATCTTTTTTTTTTTTTTTTTGGAATATTTATTTATTTATTTTTATTATTTTTTTTTCATTTATTTTTATTAGTTGGAGGCTAATTACTTTACAATATTGTAGTGGTTTTTGTCATACATTGACGCTTTATCATCTGTTCTAGTGTATATAAGGATATTCATTAATTGATTATATTGATTATGTTTATTAAGTAAAACCTTTACTGCAGTTAGTAAGCCCTTTTTATAACCTTGGCAGTATTTTACAGCTTTTAATACTTGTTTGAAATGGCTTATATTAAGTTTATTCTGTACAACCTTGGGATAATATATAAACAGCTGCACTCTTAGGAAGATATTAAAGTAGAGGCTATATTTACAGTGTCGTCTTTCAAATCTAGCTATGCTGTAAACTGATGTTTGCTGTATGCTCCTCCTGATTTGAAATAGATGAAAGAAAATGAACCTATTATCACCATGGTTCACACAATGATTGAGAACTCGGCGCTAAGACCCCAACTGTACCAGCAAGTAAGGTCTTGGACAGTGAATGATACTGCTTTATCATCTGCAAAACCCCTCAGTGACAGTTTTCGTTTCTCCTCAAAGTTACTCATAACATTGGTCTTTTTTCTTATTCCATTTTTTGTTTCTGTCTCTTTGGAAAAAAAAATAAAAACAACAACCCAACTCATCCATGCTTTTCAAGACGCTGCAGTTCTTCGCATGGCTTTGCTGAACATTCTGCTGTTGAATATTAAATGTGCCATTTTCTTGAAGTTTTTATACAGAGTATTTGATTGAAATGTACTTGGAGGTCTGCAGTACATGTGTAAAATTTTTTTACTCACTTGCCATTAATTTTTGATTAATGCATTGTAACTGACTTTTAGGGAAAACTTTAAAGAATTTTTTTCCCCCTTTCAGGGGCAAGCTTCCCAACCTCTCTCCCCCACAGTGTGTTAGGAATAGTTTATATTTGTATGGAAGTTATTTAGGGCTTGTTTCTGTACTGTGGTATGGTAAAAACTAAAGATAACTGTTTCTTACCATACTGGGAGTGACTTCTCCCTGGATTCTTCTCACTCTTCTGTAGTCGTCATGGTCTTCATGTCTTACCCCGTTCTCTTCCCTAACTCAAAATATGTGCCATGGCGCTGGCTAGCTTGAATTTAGGACCTCGGTAATCTGCAGATCTGCAAAAGAAGTCATGTTACGCATTCCTTTCCAGTTTGTGTTTTTGTTTTTTTTTTTTTCTGTTTTGTATTTCATGGTCTAGTTGTTCTTAGCTGTGTGTTTTGCAACATCAGCTTAGCTTCTTCCACTTCAACACCCTCAAATTAACTGTGGCCTATGACCTGTCACAATATTTTCAAAATCATACCGAGGAAGAAAATTAACTAACATGAAAAATGAATATACCTTTTAATTGAAATATGTAAAAGCACCTGGTAAAAGAAGCACCTTGAACTTGCACTGGCTTTAAAGGTCTCTGATTTGCCTCAAGGTGCCTTGAGGTCTGCATGATGGAACTTGTACCTGGGAGACTGAAGCAGTTGGCGGGAGGGTGACTCTTATTTCTGAGCCCAGTTTTCAAAACATGTAGAGTATGTGGTTGAGCATAGTTTTTAATTTGCAACAAGGAGATAAACTATTAAATATTTAAAGTTAAACAGCTTTACTCTTCAAAAGAAAAAGGAATCTCCATTCTTAAAGTCATGAGATTATAGAACCTTGACACTTCATTCCAAAAAGCCACACCTTTTGAAATGAACCTTAGGACTTGATCCGGAATTGATAACCTTTTTCAGCATCCAAAGCTGTCAGCTTCTAATTTTATATAATGCTGACTGACATGAAATCGAAGACCTTTTATTCTAACAGGTTGTGTTTTTGTTTTTCACATTTTGCTTATTTCCAATAAGTAAGAGCTGAGATTTTCTGTTTGGTTTGATTTTTCTTTTTTATATTGATCGATAATCAAGGCTGATGGTGCAGAATTCATTGCTGATTGAAATCATTCAGCTGCACTAGAAGCTCACTGGCGTTTTTCAAAAAACATGGAGTTTATCTGAGACTGGTCTTCCATAGCATCACTGACCTTGAATACTGAAAGAGTAATAGATTTATATACACATATTTCCACATACTGATTCTTGAAAGAAGAAAAAAAACAACCTGAAGTTGCACAGAACAGGAAGATCTGAAGGTCTGAGAGCAGCAGCCCTGCCTGAGTTTGCGATATGGGCAGCCAGGTAATCAATATTGACTATCAGTGCTGTCCAGTCTAGGGAGTTTTTAGATAATTCTTTTCTTTAACTACCCAGTAGTAAAGTGATTAATCATTGGCAGAGCATCCCTGATAGGTAAAAGTGACAGACACAGTTCTTAAATTCTGTCTATATAGACTTCTATGAATTGAAATTACATCTTGTTTTTCTCCAGATTTTCCTTCTGGTGTTATTATTGAAAGAAAATCTTTGTGAAACTTTTTGTTGTACACCTGATGGTTTGCTTTCTGGGATTGCATTGCAATGCTGTGTTGATAGGTTCCTGAAGTTTAGCTGAAAAGAAAGTGGCAGTATGGGCTTCCCAAGTGGCGCAGAGGTAAAGAATCCACGTGTCAATGCAGGAGACACAAGAGACCTCGGGTTCGATCCCTGGGTCAGGAAGATCCCCTAAGAGAAGGAAATGGCAACCCACTCCAGTATTCTTTTTTTTTTTTTTAATAATATTTGTTTTTATTTATTTCTTTGACTGTGTTGGGTCTTAGTTGCAACATGTGGGATCTACTTCCCTGACCAGGGATTGAACCCTGGGCCCCTTGCATTGGGAGCATGGAGCCTTAGCCACTGGACTACCAGGGAAGTCCCTCCAGTATTCTTACTTGGCAAATCCCATGGACAGAGGAGCCTGGCGAGCTACATTCTATAGCATCACAAGAGTTGGCACATGACATAACATAACAGTGTTTTATGACTATTTATTCTGAGTCATAGCCATATCAGGTTTTCTCTCAGGAGACCCTCTGTGTTTCCATTTTCCTAAAAGAAAGAGGACACCTGAGAAATAACCTAGGCAGTAATTTTTTGGTGGGGGGGTGGGGAGGGCAGCATTCAGTATGCAAGATCTTAGTTCCCTGACCTGGGATTGAATCCACACCCCCTACAGTGGAAGCATGGAGTCTTAACCACAGGATCACTAGGGAAGTCCCAGTAATTTTCTTAAAATTAGTCTTATTTTCTTAAAATTTTCTTAAAATTTTCTTAAAATTATAAAAAGAACCTAAAACTGAACCAAAGCAAATGTTAAGTGAGCATCAAGTTTGAAAATTCCTCTGGTTCTATTAACCATTCTATCTCCTTTCACAAGTACAATTTGTTTTTAAATTTTTATAGCATAATTAATATCAGTGAAATTAATCACATGACAATTATTTTAAAAGATACAGACTGATTAGCAAATATGCATGCATAGCCTTAAGAGCATTTTTGAGTTTTTGTAGGACATGTCTAATTTTATCGAAATATTTCCCCTCAGATCTGTTTTTGTCTTTTATATATATATTCATATGCTTTAAAAGAGATATATATAAACACACACATATATATATTTTACATACTTAAACGGGGTACTGTAGAAGGTTCAATTTTAACTGGCAAAAGTGATTTTGTTTGAACTTAATGCCAAACCAGTTTTTAAAAAGATTATGATACTATACTATGAAAAAGTTCTGAATTTCTAAATATAATATAATGCATATCCTTATATAATCAGTAAAGTCTATATAATATGCTTCTCAAACTGAATTAATTACTTAAGTAACCCTCTGTCACTTTAGTGTTGCCTAGGTACCTCAAACAACAGTATTCAAACTCAGAACTTTCTTGCTAAAGATGTGTTTGAAAAATGATAAAAAAATATTGCCATGAAACATTATTTCATGTAGAACTTAGTTAATCAGAGTATTCATGAAGTTAATTTTTCTTATTAGTAGGATTTTGATGTGGAGAACAAAATAGTAAACTTCTTTGATTCTAGATGGAAATTTTTTTAAATGAATTATATTCTAGAATTCCATGGTGGTCCAGGTTTAGGGCTCGGCAGTTTCACTGCCGTGACTCAGTTTCAGTCCCTGTTTGGGAAACTAAGATCCCTCAAGCCTTGTGGTGTGGCCAAATTAAAAAAAAAAATTTTTTTAATAAATAAATTCATCTTTTCTTAAAAAATCATCAGTAATTATAATCAGTAATAGGAAATGGGCCATGCTTAAAAGTTAATTTTTTAGTAAATCTACTGTACTCCAGTTTAAAAAAGACAAAGTTAATTATTTAAAGAACCATCTTGTTTTCTTATGCTTTTCTTGACAGGCAAAAGAAATGCATAGTGGAAGGTTAATTATTTTAAGATTTTATTAGCTGATATCCAGTTATCTTTATTGAATAAGTATTTTAAAAGATACAGACTGATTAGCAAATATGCATGCATAGCCTTAAGAGCATTTTTGAGTTTTTGTAGGACATGTCTAATTTTATCGAAATATTTCCCCTCAGATCTGTTTTTGTCTTTTATATATATATTCATATGCTTTAAAAGAGATATATATAAACACACACATATATATATTTTACATACTTAAACGGGGTACTGTAGAAGGTTCAATTTTAACTGGCAAAAGTGATTTTGTTTGAACTTAATGCCAAACCAGTTTTTAAAAAGATTATGATACTATACTATGAAAAAGTTCTGAATTTCTAAATATAATATAATGCATATCCTTATATAATCAGTAAAGTCTATATAATATGCTTCTCAAACTGAATTAATTACTTAAGTAACCCTCTGTCACTTTAGTGTTGCCTAGGTACCTCAAACAACAGTATTCAAACTCAGAACTTTCTTGCTAAAGATGTGTTTGAAAAATGATAAAAAAATATTGCCATGAAACATTATTTCATGTAGAACTTAGTTAATCAGAGTATTCATGAAGTTAATTTTTCTTATTAGTAGGATTTTGATGTGGAGAACAAAATAGTAAACTTCTTTGATTCTAGATGGAAATTTTTTTAAATGAATTATATTCTAGAATTCCATGGTGGTCCAGGTTTAGGGCTCGGCAGTTTCACTGCCGTGACTCAGTTTCAGTCCCTGTTTGGGAAACTAAGATCCCTCAAGCCTTGTGGTGTGGCCAAATTAAAAAAAAAAATTTTTTTAATAAATAAATTCATCTTTTCTTAAAAAATCATCAGTAATTATAATCAGTAATAGGAAATGGGCCATGCTTAAAAGTTAATTTTTTAGTAAATCTACTGTACTCCAGTTTAAAAAAGACAAAGTTAATTATTTAAAGAACCATCTTGTTTTCTTATGCTTTTCTTGACAGGCAAAAGAAATGCATAGTGGAAGGTTAATTATTTTAAGATTTTATTAGCTGATATCCAGTTATCTTTATTGAATAAGTGGATAAAAGGTTTAGATAAATCTTCACTGGTACCAAAAATACAGGTACAACAAAATAAATTAATTTGTGTGTAATATTACTTCTATAGTTTTCAGGAAATAGCATTCTACAATTATAAGTACACAATATACATCTTTCCTTTATAAAATATGCCAACTCATATGAAAATGCAGTGAGATCCCCTAAATAAAAATGTTATACCATTATCCAAAATAATTGTTATAAATCACTGAGTTTCCAATTTTTAAATACTTGGCTTTTTCTCTTTGACTTGGGCTATAAGATGGAAATCACATTTTAATCTAGATATAACACTATTTATGCCCAAATATACGTTCCATGGTTTAGTAAAGCTGTTTGGTGTTTAACTTTAAATATTAAATAAGCAAAGTCTTTGTAGACATTTAGCAGCTAAAGACTTTACATCTTTTATTTTTTATAAATGAGAAATACTGATTTTGGTGTTTCTGACATTTTTTTTTTGTCATGGATGTCAGCATTTTAAAATTTAGATTTTCTTTACTTTCTTTAGATAGAAGTATAAACTCTTCTTGGATCTAGGTGCTTTTATTTAGAATGACAATCAACACTTTTCAGGACATATTTAGTGGCCTTTATTTTAAAATAGTGCATAAATATTCTGACTTTTGTCATTAAATTCATTTTTCATGTGATGTTCTTTCCTATGAAAGTTCTATGGTTTAATAATCACCGTGCATACCCCTTAAGTAGTCACAGAATCATTTGCATGAGGTACGTGAAAGCAATGTCTTGAAGTGAAACATGGAAACCAGGATTGATTATTGTATGTTTGGAATGCTTATTACCTTTTTTAAATTTCTGATTTCCACATTCCTAGATCCATTTAAAGTTATCTACTGTTTAAATAATGCCTTCTTGAGATATACATGTCAGTTTTTTACAGAGAAGACATATATAGTTGTAACTTCTACATTCTTATACATTTGTAGTGTAATTTAATTTTCCAATCTAGAATGTAGTTGGGACATTATTCCTGTCCCCGTTTTGAGAAAACGTATACCATTTCATGAACATGCATTGAGCCCCAATTACATTTTCCTACTGTGTTTTTCTTACACTGTCTAGCAGTCAGTATAAAGTGAAAAGACAGGAGAAAAACTACAGTTTTCCCTGCAGAGGCACTATGATATAGTCTGTGGTACAGCTGACTGGGATGGCTTATTGGAATCTTGGTAAGCACAGTCAGAAATAAGTATTGGCTTGACCGAAAGATACTTGGAAGAAGCCGAAAATAGGGTGTTTAAATACAGTGAATAGTAATTCATTACAACATAATAAAACAAATGGTGTCAGCAAACACATCTGTACTTTTTATGAAATTTGGCCGTCCATATTTATAATGTAGACTTTCAGTTTTAAGAGATTCTGAGTGCTTTTCCTCTTTTCAATTAAACCCATCCTTTTCCTCCATTCTTTTAGTTCTTAAGACAGAGGAACAAGATAAGTCTATACTGTGTATGTGTGTTTATATATTACGTATATGTATACAGTGTGTTCTAGGTTTTGTTAATAAAATTGTACAAAGATGTGTTGGCATCTGAGTGTACACATACACAGTTGTGTGGTTATGTGTATACCATTGAAAGCACGGTTTTGACTGCTGAAATAATGCCTGATTCGAGATTTGATTCAATACAGCTGCTATGATTGTATTTGTCAGTTTTTTTCATTAAAATAGTGTGTGTCTCGCAAATGGAAAACATAAGGTGCTGCATAATTTTATTTGACCAGCTTCTTATTTTGTCTGACAAGCTGAAGTTAGCATCATTCTTATGTATCTTGCATATTGATTGTATTGATGTTCAATAATTTTCTATTTTTGTAATGATCTGTGTTTGAACTAAACTTTTTAAAAGAATCATTAAAAAACCCATTTCTGTTATTGTTATATAAATTAAGATATTTACTATAGGCTAAGTAAATGTATATTTTTTATCATTTTTAAAGTTGCTGTGTGACATTTTCCCTTATAGCTGTCACAGGATGAATGCAGAGGCACATTATACAAATACAGACCCGAAGAAATAGATATGGATGTAAGTATTAGCATGCAATGTATTATCAATGCTCTGCCACAACATTGGGAATAAGCATGACAAGAAAGGTTTCCTCTTCCTGTTCTGCCCTCCAAAATGACATCAAATAAATAACATTTTCTTCTTTTGCACTTAGATTCAATTAAATCCTCACTCCCTGATTTGTCCTCTACCCACCCCACCCCCGTAGTTAGCAGTTGAACAAATTTAGAATCATTTAAATGAAAGTAAAGAGTATTTCTGATATAAAATTATGAAGGGTTAGAGACAAAGTAAAAGTCATCTGGAGAAAGTGTCAACCTCTAGGAATTCTATCACTGCACCCTTTTATTATTGCTGTTAATCGTGGTTTACGTCACTAACTTCCTTATTTATATCTCATCCTTCCCTCGTTTCTGCTGGTTTTACTCCCCTGAGCTGTGCCTTCTCATTTCAGTGTATCCCACCTGATGGGAAATTGAGGTGTTACCAAGAACTTAAAACATTAAAACTGTTGAAAGTTATTTTTCTCCATTAGCAGTGTTTTTGCTTGTATTATTAGAGTTAGAAGCGATTTTTTCTGAAGAACATGAAAAGCATAATTTTAAAAATATAAAAAGAGAATCCAGTCTGTTTTAATTAAGAATTGCATAAGTTACTTAAACTCTTCAGCAGTTTGTAGAGAAAATATCTTAACCACATTAAAATGATTTGCTGAAGTCATAGGAGACTGCCTGATTACTAAGAATATTTTGAATTATGTAAGTTAAATAGTATGGTGGAAAATGCTTTTTTACTTTATATGCATTTTTTTAAGTGTCCTATCTCTATATTCTATATTTTAATTTTTATTTTATTGATTGAAATGAAGATTGACCTGATTAGCTATTCCTTGGCTGTTTTAAATGAGGGTTTTTTTTGTTATGCCTAAATCCAATTACAGGAAAAATTAAAAACTGCTAACAAAAGACATCTTCTCTGTAACCTAGGCCAAGTTAAGCCGACTGTGTGAGCAAGATAAAGTGGTACACGCTCTGGAGGAGAAACTTCAGCAGCTCCACAAGGAGAAAGTAGGACAATTATGTTTATTATCTACAACTGATGTTACTTTATATGATGATTATCAGGACACTGATAACTGAAGTAGAAAAGAATTAATTCGATGATGCAGAACATTAAGTGTAATCATTTTTTTATTATAATAGTACACGCTTGAGCAAGCTTTGCTGTCAGCCAGCCAAGAGATAGAAATGAATGCAGATAACCCAGCAGCCATTCAGACCGTGGTGCTTCAGAGGGACGATTTACAAAACGGGCTGCTCAGCACGTGTCGTGAGCTCTCTCGAGCCACTGCAGTAAGTAGCAAAGTTTCCTTCCTAGCTGGTATGCAGTTCTTTTTTTTTTTTTTTCGATTTAATTTATATCATTTTAATTGGGCTTTCTGTAGGATTTTTCTTTACTATTACAAAATTTTAATTTGTTGCTCTTAATTAAGACTAACAAATAAAGGGTGGTCTTTGTGTTTTTAATTAGTAGGCCTTGTGTTCTTTGTGAAATAGTTTTACAGGAAACGTCAACACACCTGTTTATATATTATGAAGATGAAAAGTTCTTTATAATGTTAAAAGTTGCTGCTGTTAGGAAAATAAATGTCATGTTAGAATAATTTTTGGAAGGTGATAATTGGATTCATTGAACCAGCCGTTTCAATTAAAGGCTCCCGAGAAATGCTTTTAAGAAGCCGCCAGCATTACCATTTTACAGCTGCAGTGTGATCTAAGGTTAGATGATAGTTTTGAGTAAGAAATATAATTAGCAGAACCTTTAACCCATAGTCCAGTTACTTCATAATAAAGAGTCTCCTGGGATTACCAAATCTAAAAGTCTTACTTAAGAGTTTATAAATTGAGTGTTTTACGAGTTTAAAGAGTCTGCTTTAGATCCGATGACGTACTCATTTCTAAACATAGTAAGAGCACCTGCCCAGGCAGCCCTTTGAAAGGGAAAAAAGCCATCTGTTACAGAAAACTGCAAACACACCCTTGTGTGTTCCTTCCGTGGGCTGTTCAGGGAGCAGCTACCTTTGAAGAAAGACCTCAGACAGTGTAACTTAACTAAGAGAGGTCTTTCCCAGCTGGGAAGCTACCAGACTCTCAACATGGATCGGGATGGGGAACACATGTAAATCCATGGCTGATTCATGTCAGTGTATGGCAAAAACCACTACAATATTGTAAAGTAATTAGCCTCCAACTAATAAAAATAAATGAAAAAAAATAAAAATAAACACTAAATTCACTTTCCAAACATGGACTGCTTTTAAAGGAATATACCATGGTTTTATATAAATCATAACTTGGTTTTTGTGACTCTTAAGTACTTTATATTTAATACACCTATTCTTCATGCCTGTCAGTGCAGGAGACACAGGTTTGATCCGTGGGTTGGGAAGATTCCCTCCTTGGAGTAGGAAATGGCAACCCGCTCCAGTATTCTCGCCTGGAGGATCCCATGGAGACAGGAGTATGGTGGGCTAAGGTCCATAGAGTTACACACAGTCAGATACAACTGAAGCGTCTTAGCATTCTTTAAAACAAACAAACAAAAATACTGTTACTTCCATTATCTCATCTGAGTTTCTTAATTATAGACTGGTGTATACAGATATTTTAAGAATTTAATATCTTTGCAGTTGTGACCTCCTTGAAATCAGAACCATATCTCATTCACCTTTGTAACTCTAGCATTCAGCAATATAGGGTGTGCATTAAAAATGTGATAAATTGGGGACTTCCCTGGTGGTCCAGAGCAATGCAGGGGATATGGGTTCAATCCCTGGTCAAGGAACTAAGAGCCCACATTCTGTGAGGCAAGTGAGCCTGCACCACAACAAAAGATCCTGCATGGCACAACTAAGACCGCCGCAGCCAAATTAAAAAACTGTGATGAATGAACCGAATGACTTACCCAGCGTTATAAAGCTAATTGAATGCAATACCTCCTCGAGGTCAACTCCAGGTCTTCTGTCCATAATCCTGAAGCCTTAGATCTACATAAGCTTTTTATAATATCTTCATAAAGAAATGTTATCTACAGGAAGTAGTCATATAGTGCATCAGTAATGGGTAGGATATGGAGGAAAGGTGAAGTGAAGGGCAGCCCACACAGGACAAAACGCTCTGAACCATAGCTGAGAGATGAGAATGTGAAGGGCCTATTTGGAGAAGCAAGAACTAGAACTGAGTAGCTGGCTGGAATCAAGGGTGGGAAATATGAGGGAAGGAAGGGAAAGACGGGTTACGCTGTCAGTGCCAAGCTAGTGAAAAGCTTGGAATTTGTATGACAACCTGAGTCAAATCAAAATTGAGTTGGAAACTATTTCACAATTTGGTGTCTGTTATAGAAAGTTTTAGAGATGTATAGTGTTTAAATTGAACTATTATTTCTTCCCTTACTAAGCAGGTTTCATAACTTAAATCTCATCTGTAGGCTCTCTCCCAAGATACCTCCAGTCCTGATGGAAGTTTATCAGATACATTCCAAGAAATGATCATTTTGAGTATCTCACTTTCTGGTTGTTATCACATATGATCACTTTCCTGGGAATTTTTTTTTCCTTTGCCATCAGCATTATTCACTGGTCATTTACAAACCCTCAATATGTTCTTCTAAGAGGTCTTAATGCATAGAATACAAACTATGTTATCCGTGCCTTTAAGCAAACATACTCATATTTGTAGCTTAGGGCTACAAGTGGTTAGAACTCACTGGATGTCGACCAGACTTAAGTTACATCTCTGGCAACAGAATCCCAAAGGATTCCTCTGATTCTTTCACAGTTGATTTTGGGGCGTCGGTTCCAATCCAGGTCCTGAGATATAAAAGATATAAGATATGATGTTAGGCCTCCATAGAGCAAAGCTTTGATCTTCTCACCTGCTTGGCCACTGAGGTATTAAAACCAAGGTTTAATACATGATAAACATGTAAAGCAGTGTTGCGTATGTGTTTAATTCTTGATACAGCGTCTCTTCTCTCTAAACCCTACCCAACACACACACACACACACACTCACGCATGAGTGTGCTTTAAAGCAGATGATGTCTTTGTGTGCTCTCCTGCCCTCTGCTTCTTTTTTTCTTTGTTTTTAATTTTTTTTTTTTTACTTTATTCTGCTTCTTTTTGACCTAAGCCTAATTAGTGGGAAGGATTATTGTAACAGTCAATTATCCCTTGAAAATTTTCAGCATGTCACTGTCTTAGTTTGGGTTTTTTCTGAAAGCAGAGCCGGGGATGAGGACCTGGGAGCTGTTTCCAGGAGGCGAAAGTGATGGAGGAAGTGTGGAGAAGGAGACGGGGCGGGGTGGGGAGAGTGGCGGGGAGAAGAGTCAGTGGAGGTTCACTGCTGAGCTGGTCGCCACTGTGGACTAGTAGGGACCCTCTGAGGAAATGAGCTAAATATTTCTAGATTTCCCACTGAGAGGTGGGGAGGCTAGGCTATCTCTCACTCCTTGGTTGAAGTTGCCCCCGGGTCCTTAATTCACCAGCATTTCCAAAGCACCTGAGTTAATTGACCACGAACACCAGCACACGGGGAGTTGACCACAGTGCCTTGAAATCAGGTGGGCAGAGGGCTAAGCATCTGCTCCAGTCACCTTTCTCAGGAAGTTTACATTTAGGCTTTATCTCTGATTGTAAGAGAAATATTCTCATGCTTTATTCATTCAGCAGTGTTGCTTTTATTCTCTCTGACAACTCAAGGAGCCAGGTAAAGCAGATGCTCTTCACATGCCTTAGATGAGAATTTAGGGCTCACCCAATAATGATAGCAAAATAGATTTGTATTTCTGTGTTGTGTACATATATTATCCAGTTTGATCCTTAAGCAGATAATGTGCAAAGTAGATGTAATAATTATTTCCATGTTATTTTCATTTTCATTACCTCCACTGCACAGATGAAGAAGCAACTCAGGTTCATGGAGGTTAAATGACTTCCAAAATGACATGACCAATTAAAAACAGATCAACACCTAAATCCAGGACTTTTAAGATTTTTTTTTTCATGTGGACCATTTTTAAAGTATTTATTGAATTCATTACAATACTGCTTCTGTTTTATGTTTTGATTTTTTTACCTTGAGGCATGTGGGATCTTAGCTTCCTGACCAGGGGTCAAACCCACATCCCTTAAACTGGAAGGTGAAGTCTGAACCACCGGGCCACCAGGGAAGTCCCTAGGATTTTTTTATTCTATGACTTCTGTATTTTCTATTCCACTTTACTCTTTGTAGTTACATAATTTGTATTTTCTGGAACATGGAATCAAATCTAGATTCTGTTACTGAAACATCTACAATCAGAATTCCATGGTTCAATCTTGGGTTTTGGCACCAAAGAAATACATGAACAAGTAAATAAAAATAAAGTTGAAATTTAAAGAAAACAACTATAAAGCCCCCCAATCATCCTGAATCATGCTAATACATGGCTTATGCACTTATCCACTGCAGAATAGGACCAATATATGAATAGTAGTAAACGTGAATATTTCTGGAGCAGTTTATTGGGTGCCAGATTCCATTATAAGTGTTTTCACACATAGTTAAGCCACTTAAGAACCCTTTGGCAGGGGTACTATTACTACTGTGTTAAAAATGGAAAAATGAAACAGATTACCCAGAGTTACAGTGAATAAGCATTTTGTATAGACTTCCAGTAACTTTAAATTTATGTTCTAGACCAGATTCTGCATGGGAGGGACTTAAGTCAATGGAGACTTTAGACTAGAATGGATAAAGTTTAATGGGCGGGGGAAGAGGACAGATAAACCACCTTGAAGAGAAGCCTGCACTTGAAATATCTTCATCTTCTTCTCCATATCACACAGAGCTACTGAGAATTATAGATATAGCAAAATGTGATTTTTTTTAAACAAATCTATTGACATACATGGATTGTCATGAAATATACTTTGAAAGATTTCATGATGATTTTTAAATACACTGGTTTTTTTCATGATTGTAATACAACATCCTAGAAACAGAGGCAGCTAGGGGTGATAAACCTCCTGAAATGCTGCAGTGGAAAGTACCCAGCAAAACTCGTGGGGTTCAGGGGAATCAAAAATCAAGTCTGAATCTCAGCAAATCTCAGCATCTAACTACGAGTTTATAGGAAACATAGAAAACAGAAGAGCAAGCTAAGCAATACCACAGGAATTCAGTTAACAGAATCAAGCATCAGAGAAATTCTACAGAACAAGTGACCGATTCTCTTCAACAAATAGGTAGCAAAGGAATAGACAGGGAAACTTACAATTTAAAATACTTTTTTAGGACTTCCCTGGTGGTCCA